TCGCCCCTATATGTAATGTGCCCCTATATGTAAGGTAACGTAACCATCAACACCCCTCCCCTCCCCTTCGCCCCTATATGTAATGTGCCCCTATATGTAACGTAACGTAACCATCACCACCCCTCCCCTCCCCTCGCCCCTATATGTAATATGCCCCTATATGTAAGTAGTGACTGTAAAATGTTATAGAGTACAAACATTTTAATGTTTAAAAATGTGTGCAACACTTTCTGACTATTTACTACAAAATAGCGTTAATTAAACAATAGAAAACAATAGAATTTAGTGATCTATTTATGTTGCACAGTTTTAGTGTTTGTACTCTATTAAGAAAACATATCATGATATTAAAAGAATGTTAGTACATCTTTTAGCAATTTGACAGTTGTATCATCAAAGAATAGTCTGAATAGTATTGCTTTTCTATCTTTGCTGCTAGAGTTTTAATTAACCTCTTTGATACTATTTTGTGAAATTCGGTAAATAGTGTCCGATAAATAATAACTATAATTTGTACTAAAAGTGGACAATTTAATTTGAATCCTAATTCACTGGAAATGCGTGCTGTGTCTTTATTATGATTTACTAGAAATGCGTCTTGTGTCTTTATTTTACAACCATTATCGTTGAAGTGCAACCCACGAAGTTAAGYCGTTATTTTATCATCATTCTTGACATTCATCTCTCAACCATGGTGTTTGTGTTTGGGATGATTAAGTCACTGCATGCACGATTTGCTACAACGAAATAGCACTATTTGGTATGTACAGTTGCACCGTTTAACAGCGATCACTCTCAGTAACAATGGTGATTCAACTCTTCTTTTTTAGAAAAACTCTCGGGATTAATTGCGTTTGCTCTACCCAGGTAAATAAAAATGTCTAAACGGGTCAATATAAAATAATGCATTACATTATTAAACTTCACTAATTTTGATAAAATTTAATTTAATCAATAATGTCTTTAAATAACAACAATAAATATGAAGCCTAATACTTTTCTTCCGTTGCTTACTATTAAATACGGATATCMAGCACKTTGCGTATTGAACAATATGATTTTCAATTTCGCTGAGAAAATTTCAAAATAACATCAAAATTCGGAACATGGTTAAAACTAAACTACAATAGCAGTATCATAGAACAGTGTTATTGCTTTTATCGAATCTGCATTCAAGATGAAGCAAACGTCATATACCACCCCTCCCCCTCGCCCCTATATGTAATGTGCCCCTATATGTAACGTGCCCCTATATGTAAGGTAACGTTACCAACAGTACTGATGAAAAATGCCGAATCCTGTGGAATAGTGTGTCCTTGACCGTCTCGGATCAGACGCGGATATAATACCTTTTAAAAGCAGTAAGTCCACCTTGTTTGGATTACTCATCCAATTACCTGAAGGTAAAACGAATCAAGTTAGAAAAGTTAGTCAGTGATTTCATCGATTGATTGAAAAACAATTATCGTGTTTAATATTCAACTTCGGAGCCACCAYTGAATGCTGGTCAGTCAATTACAGTCAAACTTGACGTTTTCTGATTGTTTGTACAATTCAATGAAAAGCACTATCTCTTAATCCTTCTAAACGTTTGGTATGTGRTTGTTCGTTGAAATTCAGTCAGTTGGCCAAGGGGTCGTTGTCAATCAAGTCTGATCCGCGCTTGACTGCTTCAACGTAGATCACGTGCCCTCTCAACGATTGCTCAGCCGAAAACACTATCAAGGTATCGATGTGGCAATGAGAAAAGCTTTCTAAAACTTTGTGGCTGTTCTGGAGTAATTTGAATACTTTGTTCTGTCAAGCTGATATAAGATTGTCAGAGAGTAACAGACAGGAATTTAGATCATGAAGTGATTGTGGACAGTTTGGACGATGGCAATTTACAACCGTCTACAAACTTTAAAGTAACTACACACAGCTTACTACAACACAACAACATAATGATCAGTCCTCAAATCAAAGTTCTGTTATTCATCGCCGTTGTTGGAGGACCTATTTCTATTGGGAAAGGTAAGTAATATTTTGTGTACTTAGAAGAATAATATTCGAAGGAGAATGACTTCCGTTTTACGTACTCAAACTTCCTAAAGCGGGCTAAATAGGCCTGGTTTGTCAGTTTCAGCTTGCTGGATTGTTATGCATATTTTGGAGACAGTTATCTACATCTAGTGTCGTAAAACGGTTGAACAGCTACATTTTCTATTAGATTATCAGTAGAATCTTGTCCGAAATGCGTTTAAAAGTAATTTCCAATTGCAAAATTGAGTTTATCTCGACGGCGAAGAGCTTATCTTGTACTTTTGGTCGCGGGTTTGCTCGAGGTATACACAGCATCTGATCGCGATCATTCGGCTTTTCGCAAGTTTTACAACATATATTTTTTAACATGTTTGTACTTAAGCTAATTCAATTAACTCCAAAGTTCTTTAATAGAAAATCACTTCTAAACAAAACTGTTTTGGATTTTATAAAGTCGAAGAGATATGCGAGGCGATTCTTCATTACCAAATGAACAATCAACTGTTTATCAAAGAGTAGCTGAATGTTTGTTATTATTAGCATTGTTATTAAATACACTGAAACTCCAATGCATTGCGAGCAATCTGGTTTTTAGTCACCTCATTTTAAACTGTCTTTGTAGACAAGCGGTCGCCGCGGTTTGAAATCAAAACCCTACCAAACTGAACTTGAACTACAAATGTGACCCCAAAGTTTTTTGTTCTATCAATTTATTTGAATACCTTCAGCCTATTTTATTCCACTGACGTTTGAATTAAATGATATGGCTACCCTGACTGCTGGTCACCAATCAAGACTTGTTTATAGGTAGTTGTAAAGGTAAAGAAAAGAAAAAGACGAGATCGAGAAGACATCTTCAAATCAATCGATGACTCAATTTGAGTGTCTCTCTCGTTGCGTGAGGTTTTTAGGCGCTACGCGTTTATCAAAGTTTTGCATAAATTATTTAGTAAAGTGTTAATTTATAGGAACTTGATATATTTTGGCTATTGTTGCTATTAAGCATTGCTAGTAGAGGTGCTTGGATTTCTATAATGTCGTCGAAATGATACATGATCGTTTTGGGTTCTTAATGGTTATGAAGTGACTTTCGCATATTGAATATCCTACAACAGCCTTTCATTACTGAAGTACAAAAAAACGCTTCAAATTGGCAGTAATTGAACAAATCGAACTATTGTAATTCTAAAGTATSAAAGGACAGCTGACACGAGAGAAAAATATACAGAGTTAGCACATGAGTATGACTTCAGCGGAAAACAACCCGCCCGCACGCCTACCAAAAGACAAATAAGCTTAAATTTATTTTATAAAACTTCTGAAATCCCGAGAGCATGGCTCTCATACGCCTTTTGTGCCTTTCCTCTCGGCCTAAGAACTAATTTAGCCAAAACAAAAGTATCGTTTAGCGAGTTTTTAATTTACAGCGTATCGCGATGTCCCGTGGCGGATGACGAGAGCATGAAAGATGTACATGTTTATGTATTCAATCGATCGTTGAGTTAATTAAAAGTACGATAATCCAATCGCAAATTAGACACACTATTAGAATGAAAGATTGAAAAAAAGAGAGAAAAAGATATCATTGAGAAATTATTCCCCAGAAATTGTGGAAAAGTTGGGAGTTCGAAACGACTAAAACATCAAAATTAATTTTTAATATAAAGTTGCTCTGCAGGATACGAGGGGCTGGAATCAAAGTTTATTTTGAGGCCAAATTTAGCCCGCAACATTAACAGCACTTGGCGCCGTGAATAAACTATKAGAACGATAAACTCCAACCTCTGGTACACAGGGTATAAAGTACACTATTTAAAAAAATCCGCTAGACTTGACATTTTCTGCATATACCTAGACAACTGCTGTTTATCCATCTTACTAGAGCATTCACTAAAAAAGAAAAAACAAAAAAACTCATTATACATGAAAGACAAAATCCTTTGTTTTAATACTATTGTTTGAGTGAATACACAGGGAGAAGGGAGGGAGGGAGGGGGATAGGGTTGGTCAAGGGAGGGGGATTTTATTATTATTTTATTTTTGTGGGCATTTTTAAAAGTGTCATTTCTTGTATCTGGAAATCACATCTAAAAAGCAAGAAATCCTGACTTATACAACTGATGTGTGACATATCTAGATGTTTTTAAGGTGATGTTTTTTTAAGATCAATTTCCTTTTCCTTGACAACATATTCAAGAAGATATAGTCCTGTCTTTTTGGGGCATTTTGACTTCAACATATTTGGCTGTCTGTGGTATTGTTCCCTATATGATATGTGAGGGAGGTTTTCCTTTATTACTATCATGCAGTGGATTTGTCAGATTTATGAGAGAGGGAGGCTATTACATCCAAATGTATTCTAATTTAAATATTGACAAAGCCACAAAACAATTGAAAGTAGTAATTTAATCACAAATATTGCTAATTATAAAATTTTTGATATATAACGCGCGCTCTGATTGGCTGACGACCGTGTTTATATCAGAGGACAGAGACATGGCTTACCGGCAGAATTTTCTTTTCGCTCGAAAAATTTTATAAAAGAAATATAAAACGGCCGCTTGTGTCTCTGTCCTCTGATATAAACACGGTGTGAGTTGAAAAACACTCGAGAAGCAAGAGAAACACTCGCTACGCTCGTGTTCCTAAGCTTGCTTTCTCTCGTGTTTTTCGAACTCCCACCGTGTTTTATCAGAGGACAGAGACACGCGCCGTTTTATATTTCTTAATCAAAGTATGTAAAACAAAGACTTTTTAGTATCAATTCCTATTACAATGTATATTTAAAACAAATTTTGTTCATAGTTTTTGCAATCCTTGAAAACTAGGAGTAATCTTCTGTCCCTTGTTCCTCTSTCCTTGAAAATATACCCCTTCCTCTCATTTTTGGAAATTTAGAAATTGTTGCTAARGTAAATAAATCAAAAATTTATCAACCAGTCAAAAATAAACTTATATCAATGAAAGCTAAGGATTTAATTTATAAAATATGCTGGCATTTTGTTAGGTGATGTTTACCCTGGTTCCAGAGGTTAATTTCTTTTCTTTAATAGTTGTTTTCTATTTTTTATTTCTGCTTTGCTTTATAAAAGTAGGATAAATACTAAAAAAAACTGTCTATAAAAGAAAAGAAAACCTCTGGGACAAGGGTAGGTGATATTGGTATTTATTGTAAGCGACAATATTACATAATATTATGATCAGATGATTGTGACCAGTTGTGAACGATCAAAGGACACAATCTATAAATATCACAACTGAACTTTCAATGGGTTATAAATCGCTCCAAAAGTCACTTTTATGCATGTTGAACTTTACCACTTAAGTGCTATTTATAAGTATCATCATAAATTTACATAACCTCTATAGAGTTATTTATGCAGCATGCCATGACATGTGATTGCAACCTTAGTGGGTAACTTTAATTTTCAGAACAAGGTCTAACAGACTTTGCACCAAGGAGTATTATTTTTGAGAGCAAGAAACAATCAGCAACAGAAGTCAATAATCCCTGGGTGCAAGGGGATGATTGAGGCTTTGCAATACAGCACTCTATTGTGTGCATCTTCTGAAATATCTATAGTAGGGGTATATTACAAGCCAGCCAGAACCAAGGACAGGGAGAATATCTTAGATGAAATTTTTGATGCTTTAGAATTGATGAACTAGCTTTAAAGGCTCAGTTTGCACCATGCTTTGCGTGCCTCTGTTATTGTTATGACTTACACCAAAATACTTCTAGTATCCAAATAGCACCATAATAAAGCGAAGTAAGATGGTTGAAAACTCTAATATTATCGTTTAAAGTGCTTAGAAAAGTGAGATGGTCAAAGATTTGAAACACACAGTACGAATTATAGACTTTCGGTAAACTGAAAATGGCTGCCCGAGGGCCCCAAAGCATAATGGTKYACACTGGGCCTTTAAAACTAGCCCCTCTATTTTTCATTGTATTATCAACAGTGGTGTTACGAGGCTTGTTTGCAGGTAGCCTTTGAAATGGATGCAAGCCGAGACAACAAGTCAACAGTATATCCTCATTTGTCTCGCTACCCATAAAGCTCATAGTATAAAATTAAAAGCTTAGTATAAACTTAAAATGGGACCATGCGATCAGGAATTATCAAATAAAAACCATTAAAACAGCATTTTGCTATCAAGTGATCAAATATTTTTCATAGATTTGTTTCCATTATTGATCAATGACCAAATTAGAGACCTAAAATAGTTTTGAGGCTAATGTTTATGTACAAATGCATAATAATTTGTTTGCTCAAATTTGATTTTGCTATAAATTAGTTTTATTTTGGGGATTTTATTTATTTTTTTCCACTACTAATTTGACTTGAGTCTTATTCACTATAGTCCTTCCAACGACATTCTGTCTGCTAGTTTAATAGTCCACAAATCCCTTTTCATTTTTGTGTTTACACATTTAAGTCTCTACTATTTGTACTTAAGACTCTTGCACAGTCTCATGACGAGGCTATTTGCATTTTAGAGAAGACAAAAAATGCATCCTCAGGGTTGCCAGAGGTTTGAGTCAGGATTAAAACAGATTGATGTTCACTAACATACGTACTCGTAAATGTTCATTGGTTAAAAGTTAGCACTTCATAGCACTCCAGACAAAAAATTGCCGAGACGCGATTTTTTTCGATTTTCAAAGGATGATGGGAAATGGAGTACTCCTTGTTTTTTTTTTTCATTTCTGCCAATTCGTTTGTACGTGTTTTCTTCGTAGACGCGGCATGGTTACTTGCAACTTTTAAAGAAACCTTTAAAACTGATTTTCATAACTATTTTAGAGGATGTAAGAGTTTTACATATCCCATCATGYTTTGTTACAGAAAATGGCGTCGCTTCAAAGGCACTATTACGGAACTTTAATTGCAAGTCATCCTCTTTCTTTTAGTGTTTTAGTTCGTCAGTATTTCCCTTGAGAGAATGTTTCCAAGCCACTTAATTATTTACTCATGCAAGTTCATCATTCAAGAACGTGATTTACTACTTATGAAAAACTCAGCGAACTGTCTAAATATATCAAAAGCATGGTTTAATAAGAGAAATATTGGCTCTCTGAAGTTGCGACCTGTTCTAAAAATAAACTGACAAAAAAATCAGCTCAGTTGTAATGGTTTCCAAGCTTTTTTCAAAAGTAAATGTTTTTGCTTATATGAAAATATGTGAAAATTTTCCCTTGCACGAAATCTTTTATCGTTGAAACAGCCGCGAACGCAGAAACCTCTTGTATGGTAATTATAAGGTCATTCAATCGTTGTAGTACTTGACTTTCCATTAATGCCTTTTTTAGAAGAGTACAAATATGTTAATGAATTAGTCAAGGGCTTTGTTTTTGTGTAGCAAGAATTCAAATTAACAGCGACATCTTTCAATTTCGCTTCATTTGGCAGTTCGTAATACTTTATGATACTGCATTCTTTTAAGAAATCCATATATTTTCCTGGCAGCCTTTCAGAAAGTAATTATTATTAGCTTGCAAGGGAGTTTGGGTATAGAAGACGTCATTTCTTCTAAAGATAGTTCACATTAAAATTCAGTTATACAGAGATGAAAAAACCCTCAGTACTTTATGTAAGACCCATGAATCGGCGCAATTACTATCTTTCTATAAGAGCTAGGGTTAGAGAGGCTTGCATGAAGTTCTAACCAAAATCGTGATATATGCACGTGTTGTTTTTGTACGGACATTATTATAACTCTTGACTCGCATACATTTTACTTATAGAGCGGATTTCGTATGAGTGGGAAAGGGAAGGTACTGTACTGTAACCGTAATCGTACTGTAACCAAATTCTAGTGCCCCATTGTTTCAACAAAATTCTGCAGGCCAGGTCCGGTAACTGTGCGGTAACCGTGCGGTAACGGTGTCCCACTCATACGAAATGCGCTCTATCTGACTGTACTTTAGTAAGTTGTAATCACACGACGCAAGGCGGTTTACTTGATGTGTTACGTATGCAGCTTTTGTTCAACCTGACTGCTGCTCGCTTGCATATGACTTTTATTGCGCAATCCCTGTTATTTTCAACTTGACTTGGGTAGTTGCAATGAAATGAATGCAATTCATGTCATATATATAATTGATGCGCAACTTGACCTTATTAATGACAGTTTGCTAGATGCAGCTGGTCTAATAACTCAACTTTATTTTCATGGAGAAATTCGTGTTATATACGTAATAGTTAGTAGGGGGGATAGTTGTGGTGAGTGGCAGGGCTTTTGATGTACAACGGGCATAGCGTATTTACAACTTGACAAAGGTGGACTTTGCTGCAGACTCGTACCCAGTCGTTTCTCTTTGTCGTTTTACGGGTCGCGGTGCATCAATGGAAGAGAGAAGTGAAGCGTAACGACTGGGTACGAGTCTGACCTTGCTGCATAAAAACTAATTCAGAAACGTTCAACTCTGAAAATATCGTATTCAATGACCGCAATGCATTATCGCCATTCTTTTCCCGTTTAAAAGGAGTTTCATGGTCTCGACGTGAATATACCAGTTTAGTATAATAAAGAATTTCAATAAAAAGCTGTTAAATTTAGAACTGTCGAAAGCTGAGTAATAAAAACAATGCATTGCGGTCCTGGAATGCACTGTGCAGTATTGAGTTTTCTAGCTGAAGTTTCTGTATGCCCACAATTTATGTTGTTACATTAAGTTTTATTACTTCTTCTCGATCAGCAACCTTTAGCTAATCGTTCTCATTGAAATTCCTTATTTATTCAGCCTCCCCAATAAGCCTGAGGCCAAGCATCGCTCAAGGAGTAGATGGAGGACAAGTATTCCTACAGTGCAATACCACAACAAGCGCAAAGCCAGTCCTTAAATTGACTCAAAATGGAAAAGTCATGCCCAGGTCGAGAATCTATTTATCCAGAGTGCAGGGAGGTTGGTTCATACGAGTTGGACCATTAAGGGCTGGTACCTATACTTTAACGGCGACCAGTGGCGGATCTGCATCATCGTCGATTATATTTTATAAAGGTATAGTTAAGCAATAAACGATAGCTTAAAGCGGTTTGCTGGCGAAATAAGCCGCGCGGGATGGTTGGGAGGACACGAGAAAAGATCTGACGACTAGTGCTTTACCTTTTTGAGTGTATAAACTGTATATTATTTTAGTTATAGCAGAAAATAAAATAAAAAAAAAATTAGGCCGGCGTCCGCCATTTAGACTCAAAAGTCGTTCAAGACAGCAGGCTGGTTAACCGGCGAAATAAACCATAGCTCTTCTCATGAAATCCGCCAATCAGCGCGCGTGTTCTGTTAGAATGGAGCTATAATATAATATGGTAYAGAGGGGAATAGTTTGGAGACTTTTTGTTGTACTTCTTTTGTACATTTTTTGYATGTATTTTGAGTTTGAATCAGTCAACACCGGGCACAACGTTTTCCTTACGGAAAATGGAAATTACAAAATGACTAAACACAAACACCCTCTATGAGATTATGAAGTGAAATATTTCAATATTAGTTTAAATTTTCTGTGCATTTTGAAAAAATAGTCAAAAGAATAATTTTCGCTCTGTTCATTCAGATGTGATCAGTTTGGCTAAAACAATAGTTAAGCAAAAGATTGTGCTCTGTCCCGCTTGGAAAAAAGGGCACAAAAACCTACAACAAGGCTTTCTAACCATTTCACTCTACACAAACTTTTTTTTTATTCATTCATCTACTAAATTAATTCATCCATCCGTCATTTATCGTTAAAAGTCGTCATTCTCACCATTTATTTTCTGCACGTCTTTTGTATCCAATTTAACTGTCAACATGCTTACTAACCAAGCTATGTTTCCTACTTGCTTCGGTACTAATTCTTTGTTTTATCTTCATCAGCTAAGAATACAACGGTTGGCTTTCCAAAGATTGTAAGAAACCCTCGCTATCGCTTTAAAAAGAGCGGCGAGTCAGTAACGTTTCATTGTTCTGCGACTGGTTCGCCTAAACCCCAAATATTCTGGACTAAAAACAAAGTTCCATTGGTAGCTGACAAGAGAGTTACAATGGCTAATGATGGAAGGCTGATGTTTACTAATTTGCAGAAGTCAGATCAAGGATATTATGAATGTGTCGCTCAAAATTTACATGGAATGGTATTCTCAAGAAGGGCCAGGCTTTACATACGAGGTTGGTATACATCCCCCATCTTGAATTTCCCATGAGATAAAGCACAAGAAACGTTTTTTACCGAAAAATATTTTCTCGAATAATTCACGATTTGAAGTCGAACATTCCAAATATTTTTTTGATGATAAGATTTGTTTTCACGCTTTATGGTGCAAAATTGAATCAACGGCTATTTGGCGTTTTTGTTCCCGTCAATCAAAACTCCAAACGTCAACGAGGCTCCTTCCTCAAAACCGGAAGGTAAATTAATGTGCTAAGTTCGCTCGTCTTTTTTTGGGTTTGGGGGAGGTGGAGGGGAACAGCTGTGCAAAAATTTTTAGTTATTAACAGAAACACGAGCAAACAAATAAAATGAACTAACGTTGAAACTTCTAATGTTTCCAGTGGTTCAAAGACCTCCACGTTTTACTGTGAAACCACGTGACCAGGTAGTAGACCCTGATAGTGACGTCACGCTTAATTGTGCCGCCGATGGTTTTCCCAAGCCATCTATTGTATGGGAAAGAGACGGAAGCAGGATWTCTGGCGTGTTGAATGGAGTCTTGCTGATCAAGAAGATCAGACGGTCGGCTAATTATTCCTGCACTGCTGATAGTTACGCCGGGAAGGTGAAAACGTACGCTTACGTTACAGTCAGACGTAAGTTACTGTTGTTTGTACTTGAATATTGTGATTAATTGATTTACAGTTTTTGATAATAGTAATTCATAATTTTTCCCGAAATGCGCTATTTCTGGTTGTTTTTGACTATTTTAACTTTTGGACTTTTAGAGCTTATTTATTTTTTGGGGGTCTTT